AGATATTAATCTGTTGGAGTACAAAAGGTTTTTTGTTTTTGTTTAATCTCACAGGAATGCAAGCTTTAACCACAAGTTTGGGAATCATAAAACTTGTAAAATTTATTTCTTATGACAAATTGTATTTGCTCATTTAGGCCCCAAAATATGCTTGTAAAAAATTGAACTTGCCCACTTAATTTGTAAATGAATCCAGTGGATTTATGATAATTCATGTATCATTTTATAATGATGTATTTACATTACGTAGACATTGATTGGCTCAATGAATTGCTGGTATAGCTGGAGAACCAGGTTTGAGGTTATGTAGTAAAAACCACAACCAAAATTATGGCATAGAAATGTCTGGTGAGGATACCTCTGCTGCATTCCAGGGGGTAGGAGCTGGAATGATGCTGCTGCTGGCACTGGGAACTGGAAGCCACTGCTGGCATTGTTGCCGCTACTGCCACCATCTCTACCACTGCCATTGGAGGTGTTCCACTGCTCCTATTTATTCCTTAGCTTCAAGTACAAAATTTAAGATAGTGCATCTGGGCTGGACACGGTGGCTCACGCCTGTAATACAAGCACTTTGGGAGGACAAGATGGGCAGATAACAAGGTCATGAGATCAAGACCATCCTGGCCAACATAGTAAAACCCCTGTCTGTACTAAAAATACCAAAATTAGCTGGGCATGATGGTGCATGCCTGTAATCCCAGCTACTTGGGAGGCTGAGGGAGGACAATCACTTGAACCAGGGAGTTGGAGGTTGCAGTGAGCTGAGATGGCACCACTGCACTCCAGCAGACCTGGCAACAGAGGAAGGCTTCGTCTCAAAAAAAAACAAAAAACCTAGTGCATCTGATTAGATGCACCTAGGTCATCTGCTTAGTCCTAGCTGCAAAGAGGGTTGGGAAAGTAGGTATCTTGCAGTTTCAGCATTGATGTTGGGAGGAGGGTTATGCCATTCACCAGGGCTGTTAGGATGGGCAAAAGGGTTCCAATACCTAAGAAAAGGGGTTCTGAGTCTGAGCAGCCAGTAAGAATGATTCAAGTCCAATATATCTGGTTAAGCCCAACTATCCTGTTACTCTGTACCTGGGCCCCAACAAGTAAATGCTGTAAGCAAAATCACTTCACCATGCAGATTAAATCACTTTTAATTTATGGCCTCAAGTCTCAAATGAACTTGCAACACAGCCAGACTATTCTATTTCTATCCACTTTCTAATACATTCATTTTTCTATACACTATTTCATATTATTCTTCCCACAAATCTCTAACATCTCCTCCTCATTTCAATGGTGTCTTTGTTAGTGATCCCTAGAGAAAACAGATGCAATCAGAGGATGTCTATTGATCTTCTCTTGCTACAAATGCAACCTTTCCACTAGTGCTCTGAATCCCATCCCCTCTCATCAACTCAGAGTTTGCTCCTGTAATCTTCCCTCTTTATTTTATTTTTATATTTCAGAGACAGAGTCTTGCTCTGTTGCCCAGGCTGGAGTGCAGTGCCACAATCTGGGCTCACTGCAACTTCCACCTCCCAGGTTCAAGCGATTCTCCTGTCTCAGCCATCCGAGTAGCTGGGACTACAGGTGCATGCCACTACGCCCAGCTAATTTTTTTATTTTTTAGGAGAGACAGGATTTCACCATATTGGTCAGGCTTGTATCAAACTCCTGACCTTAGGTGATCCACTGACCTTGGCCTCCCAAAGTGCTGGGATTACAGGCATAAACCACCACTCCCAGCCTTTTTTTTTTTTTTTTTTGAGACGGAGTCTTGCTCTGTCACCCAGGCTAGAGTGCAATGGTGTAATCTCAGCTCACCACATCCTCTGCCTCCCCAATTGAAGTGACTCTCCTGCCTCAGCCTCTTGAGTAGCTGGGATTACAGGCACATGCCACCATGCTTGGCTAATTTTTCTATTTTTAGTAGAGATGGGGTTTCGCTATGTTGGCCAGACTGGTCTCGAACTCCTGACCTCGTGATCTGCCCACCTTAGCCTCCCAAAGTGCTGGGATTACAGGCATGAGCCACCATGCCTGGTCAATCTTCCCTCTCTCATACTCCAGTGGATCATTCCCATTGGTATAGAAACATATCTTGGCCGTAGCTCACGCCTGTAATCTCAGAACTTTGGGAGGCCAAGTCAGGAGGATCACTTGAGCCCAGGAGATCGAGACCAGCCTGGCCAATGTGGTGAAACCCTATTTCTACAAAAACTACAAACATTAGCCAGGTGTGGTTGTGTGTGTCTGTAGTGTCAGCTACTTGGGAGGTTGCGGTGGGAGGATTGTTTGCGTCCAGAAGTTTGAGGCTGTAGTGCAGTGGCACGCTCACTGCATTACAATGAGCCATGAGCGTTCTACTGCACTACAGCCTGGACAACAGAGTGAGATCCTGTCTCAAAAAACAAAAAAATCAAAGAACAACAAAAAGATGTTTTAATATTACTCATCTCCAAAGACATAAACAAAACAAGACAAAACCCTGCTTCAAGCCCATGTCCTCTCTCAACTCTTGACTCTGTTCTCTTTCCAAAGAAACCTCATCATTACAGTGGTCTATTCTTGTGCTCATTCTTCTCATCTGCAACTTTTTCTCAAGCCACTTTATTTGGGCTCTTGTTCTCACTATTTAATCAAGGTCATTAATGACCTACGCCTTGCCAAAACCAAAGTTTGGTTGTTTGATTTTTCTGTTGGCATCTTATTGAACTTAGCAGCATTTGAAGCAGTTGAAAACTTTGTTCTTCATGAAATACATTATTTTTGTCTTTGTCAATCTACTTGGCTGACTCTATCCTTAGCAACCTTCCCTCCTCTATCTACATTCACTCCCCAAGTGATTTCCAGCCCCTTTGCTTAATTAATTTTTCCATGAATTTTATCATATTTCTCCTTTATCATATTTCTCTTCTTATTTAAAAAAAATCTCAAGCTAGGCCAAGCTCAGTGTCTACCCCTGTAATCCCAGCATTTTGGGAGGCAGAGGAGGGTGGATCACCTGAGGTCAGGAGTTTGAGACCAGCCTGACCAACACGGAGAAACCCCCATCTCTACTAAAAATACAAAATTAGCTGGGCGTGCTGACGCTATGTACTCAGGAGGCTGAAGGAGGAGAATTGCTTGAACCCAGGAGGTGGAGGTTGCAGTGAGTTGAGATCGCGCCATTGCACTCCAGACTAAGCAACAAAAGCAAAATCTGTCTCAAAAACAAGAAAAGAGAAAAATCTCAAGTTCACCAAAAGGTAAGAAGAATAATAACTATGAACACTCACATATTCTTCAATAAAATTCATAAATTGGTAATTTGCCAACATTTGTGCACATCCTCTTTCTTCCTTTTTTCCTCACCTCTTTCCCTTTTCCCATAGAGTTTATTTTTTGCTGAGACATTTGAAATCAAGTTAGTTGGTATTTTGTTTGTTTTTTGTTTTTGAGACAACTTCTTACTCTGTCACCCAGGCTGGAGTGCAGTGGCGTGATCTTGGCTCACTGCAAGCTCTACCTCCTAGGTTCAAGCGATTCTCCTGCCTCAGCCTACCAAGTAGCTGGGATTACAGGTGCCCACCACCATGCCTGGCTTATTTTTATTTACTTATTTTTATTTTTAGTAGAGACAAGATTTCACCATGTTGGCCAGGCGGTCTGGAACTCCTGACCTCAGGTGATCTGCCCACCTTGTAATCCCAAAGTGCTGGGATTACAAGCATGAGCCACCACTTTTGGCCTGAAAGCAAGTTTTAATCATCATGATATTTCTCCCTTAAATACCTTAGCACGTACATTCCAAGACTGGAGTAAGGGTTTTCCTAAATAACTATAATACTATTAATACATCTAAGAAAATTAACAATAAATTAGCATAATCTAATATACAGTTCATCATCAAATTTCCCTACATCTCTAAACTAAACTATTATGTTTATAAAAATTTTTCTTTTATCCATATCCAGAGTAACCATTCCAGTAACAAAAAAAAGGAAAAAAATAAAATAAAATGAATAAAAATTTTTCTTTTAAATTCAAGATCCAATAAAGATTTACCTTTTACATTTGGTCATTATGTTTCTACTCTCTTTTATTGTAGAACAGATACCCCCACATACTGATTTTTTTTTCCTTCACAAAATTGACTTTTTTTTTTTTTAAATAAAGACAGGGTTTCACCATGTTGGTCAGGCTGGTCTTGAACTCCTGACCTCAGGTGATCCACCCGCCTTGGCCTCCAAAGTGCTTGGATTACAGGCGTGAGCCACTGCACCTGGCCAAAATTGACTTTTTTAAAGAACCCATTCTTGTAGAATGCATTATAGATCAGTGATTCTCAACTGAGGTGATTTTGCCTCCTAGAAGACATTTAGCAATGTCTGAAGGTTTTTTTTTTTTTTTTGAGACAGTCTCACTCTCTCTCCCAGGCTGGAGTGCAGTGGTGCAATATTGTCTCACCACATTCAAGCAATTCTCCTGCCTCAGCCTCCTGAGTAGCTGGGACTACAAGCACGTGCCATCACATCCGGCTAGATTTTGTATTTTTAGTAAATATGGGGTTTTGCCATGTTGGCCAGGCTGGTCTCAAACTGATCTCAGGTGATCTTCCCGCCTTGGTCTCTCAAAGTGCTGGGATTACAGGCATGAGCCACTGCACCTGGCCTTATTTTGTTTTTGAGATAGAATCTCGTTCTGTCCACTTTTACACTGTTGGTGGGAGTGTAAATTAGCTCAACCATTGTGGAAGACAGTGTGGCGATTCCTCAAGGCCTTAGAAATAGAAATTCCATTTGACCCAGCAATCCCATTACTGGGTATATATCCAAAAGACTATAAATCGTTCTACTACAAGGACACATGTACACGAATGTTCATTGCAGCACTGTTTACAATAGCAAAGACCTGGAATCAACCCAAATGCCCATTGATAATAGACTGGATTGGAAAAATGTGGCACATATACACCATGGAATATTATGCAGCAATCAGAAATGATGAGTTTGTGTCGTTTGTAGGGATATGGATGAATCTGGAGAACGTCATCCTCAGCAAACTGACACAAGAACAGAAAATGAAACACCGCATATTCTCACTCATAGGCGGGTGATGAAAAATGAGAACACATGGACACAGAAAGGGGAGTACTAAACACTGGGGTCTATTGGGAGGAAAAGGGGAGGGCCAGTGGGAGGGGGAGGTGGGGAGGGATAGCCTGGGGAGAAATGCCAAATGTGGGTGAAGGGGAGAAGGAAAGAAAAGCACACTGCCATGTGTGTTCCTACGCAACTGTCTTGCATGCTCTGCTCATGTACCCCAAAACCTAAAATCCAATAAAAATTAAAAAAAAAAAAAAAAAAAAAGAATCTCGTTCTGTCACCCAGACTAGAGTGCAGTGGTGCAATCTTGGCTCACTGCAACCTCAACCTCCCAGGCTCGAGAGATCCTCCCACTTCAGCTTCCCCAGTAGCTGGTACTACAGATGCTCGCCACCATGCCCACAAAAAAAAAATTTTTTGTGTTTTTGGTAGAGACAAGTTTTCGGCATGTTGTCCAGGCTGGTCTGGAATTCCTGGCTCAGGTGATCTTCCCACTTCAGCCTCCCAAAGTGCTGGGATTATAGGCCTGTGCCAACATGTTCAGCCTGAAGACACTTTTAGTTGTCACAACTGGAAGGGTGCTACTGGCATCCAGTGGGCAGGAGCCAGGGATACTGCTAAACATCCTACAAAGCACAGGACAGTTCCTACCACAAAGAATGACTCAGTCCAAAATGTCAGTAGTGCTGAGGTTGGGAAACCCTAGTCCAGATTTATTTGATTGTTTGTTCACGATTAGGTTCAGGTTCAATGTTTTTGGTTGAGAAAGCTACTCAAATGATGTTATGGTTTTTCGTTTTTTGTTTGTTTTTTTTTTCTTTTGAGACAGAGTCTCACTCTGGGTTCAAACGATTTTACTGCTTCAGCTCCCAAGTAGCTGGGACTATAGGCATGTGCCACTGTGCCTGGCTTCTTTTCTTTTTGGTATTTTTAGCAGAGACAGGGTTTCACTGTGTTAGCCAGGATTGTCTCAATCTCCTGACCTCATGATCCATCTGCCTTGGCCTCCCAAAGTGCTGGGATTACAGGTGTGAGCCACCGCACCCGGCCAATATTACGGTTTTTTAGTGAATCTCATTAGGAGGCCCTGCCTGTCAGTGCTTCCTCTTGGTAGTCTTCATTTCTGATGACTTAGTTAAGCTAAGACTGCTGTTGTAGATTTGTAGACACCAGGTCATTAAAAATCAAAAACAACAACAAAAAAAGACAGCCGGGTGCAGTGGCTCACACCTGTAATCCCAGCACTTTGAAAGGCCCAGGTGGGCAGATTACTTGAGGTAGTTCGAGACCAGCCTGGCCAACATGGTGAAACTCCATCTCTTCTAAAAATACAAAAAGTAGCCAGTTGTGGTGGTGCATGCATGTAATTCCACCTACTCAGGAGGCTGAGGCAGGAGAATTGCTTGAACCCGGGCAGTGGAGGTTGCAGTGAGCTGAGATCGTGCCACTGCACCCCAGCCTGGCAACAGCCCAGGCTGGGGTGCAGTGGCTCACGCCTGTAATCTCAGCACTTTGGGAAGCCAAGGCAGGCAGATCACATGAGGCCAGAAGTTCGAGACCAGCCTGACCAACATAGTGAAACCCCGTCTCTGCTAAAAACACAAAATTAGCTGGGTGTGGTGTCAGGTGCCTGTAATCCCAGCTACTTGGGAGGCTGAGGCTTGAATCTGGGAGGCAGAGGTTGCAGTCAGCCCAGATTGTGCCATTACACTCCAGCCTGGGCAACAAGAGTGAAACTCCGTCTCAAAAAAGAAAAAAAAAATCCCAGCTACTCTAGAGGTTGAGGTAGGAGAATCACCTGAACACTCAAAAAAAAAAAAAAAAAAAAAAAAGGCAACAGCTTAGCAGCCACTGGAGGGCATAGTGAGAGGTGAGAGAGACTGGTGCCTTCTTGGGTCTTTCTTGGGCATGTGCACAGCCCTACCCAGGCATGTATCCTTCCAGAGTCCCAAGAATAAATCAGAGATTATCAAACAACTAATGCAGACAATTGTCACTATTTGATCTATCTGGCAGCTCCCTGAAAATCTCTACTCCCAGGGCTTGTCTTTATTTGAACAGACTCAGAGTTCACTCCATGCAAACAGTCCTATCCTATGGCATTTCTTGAAAAAAAAAAAAAAAAAAAAATCAGCTGCAATTGCTTAACATTGCAGCTACCCTAGGTGGTAATGCCAGCTAGGGCTAAAAAGAAGATGATCAAAGAGTTTAAAAGGAAAAACTGGGGAATGAGATGTCCATAGAGGGCTTTGATAATCTCTGACTTTTTCTCTTTTTTTTTTTGAGATCGAGTGTTGCTCTGTTGCCAGGCTGGCGTGGTGCAATCTCAGCTCACTGCAACCTCTGCCTCCCAGGTTCAAGCAATTTTCCTGCCTCAGCCTCCTGAGTAGCTAAGACTACAGGCAAGCGCCACCATGCCCAGCTAATTTTTGTTATTTTTTAGTAGAGACGGGGTTTCACCATGTTGGCCAGGCCGGTCTGGATCTCTTGGCCTCATGATCCACCTGCCTTGGCCTCCCAAAGTTCTGGGATTACAGGCATGAACCACCATGCCTGGCCAATCTCTGACTTATTCTCAGGACTCTAGAAGGGTACATGTACATGCAGGGCTGCGTATATGCCCAAGAAAGACCTGAGAAGGCCTCAGATCTTATCTCTGGTTGACCTTGAGGCTATGCACAAACAGGAAGTGAGGGATAAGGGAGAGTTATAAACTGTCTCCTGGAGCATCGCAGGTGTGATTCGACATACACACTGAGCCGCTTGGCAAAAGCTGTGAAGCTTATTGATTCAAGGCAATTAAGCAAATTTGAGCGGGTGAGGTGGCTCACGAATGTAATCCCAGCACTTTGGTAGGCCGAGGCAGGGAGATCACCTGAGGTCGGGAGTTCGAGACCAGCCTGACCAACATGGAGAAACCCCATCTCTACTAAAAACACAAAAATTTAGCCAAGCGTGGTGGTGCATGCCTGTAATCCCAGCTACTTGGGAGGCTGAGGCAGGAGAATCACTTGAACCTGGGAAATGGAGGTTGTGGTAAGCCGAGATCGCGCCATTTCTCTCCAGCCTAGGCCACAAGAATGAAACTTTGTCTCAAAAAAAAAAAAAAAAAGAAAATCTGTCCAGTTATTACCTCACTATTAATGTAGCTGAGTAGAAACTTCAGTAGCTACATAGACAGAAAATACAGACTTCAGAATTAGCTCAGGAGAGGCCAGGTGCAGTGGCTTACACCTGTAATCCCAGCATGTTGGGAGGCCGAGGTAGGAGAATCCCTTGATTAGAGGAGTTTGAGGCCAGCCTGAGCAACATAGCAAGACCTCATCTCTACTAAAACAAACAAACAAAATAATTAGTTCAGGAGGGGTATTAAGAAACAAACAGGCTGGGCACAATTGCTCATGCCTGTAATCCCAGCACTTTGGGAGGCTGAGGTGGGTGGATTACCTGAAGTCAGGAGTTCAAGACCAGCCTGACCAACATGGAGAAACCCCGTCTCTACTCAAGGTACAAAATTAGCTGGGTGTGATGGCACATGCCTATAATCCCAGCTACTCCAGAAGCTGAGGCAGGCGAATTGCTTGAACCCAGGAGGCAGAGGTTGCAGTGAGCCGAGATAGTGCCACTGCACTCCAGCCTGGGCAATAAGAGCAAAACTCTGTCTCAAAAAAAAGAAAAGAAAAGAAATAAATAGCAACAGCAGCTGAATAAGCTGAAAAAATGACAAGTCCTGGGGATAGGCAGATCTGATTTCCAGAGTTGCTTTATGATTTAGCATGTTCCATTTTCAAGAAAAAAATATGAGATACACAAAGAAACATGAACATATGGGTGAGATGCGGTGGTTCACGCCTGTAATCCCAGCACTTTGGGAGGCCAACGCAGGTGGAACACGAAGTCAGGAGTTCAAGATAGTGACCAACATAGTGAAACCCTGTCTCTACTAAAAAAATACAAAAATTACCCAGGCGGATGGCAGGTGCCTGTAATTCCAGCTACTCTGGAGGCTGAGCCAGAGAATTGCTTGAACCTGGGAGGTGGAGGTTGCAGCTAGCCAAGATCATGCCACTGCACTCCAGCCTGGGCAACAGAGCAAGAGTCTGTCTCAAAAAGAAGAAAAAAAGATTTTCAGGTAATCTGACAACCTGAAAAACTGTTTTTAGTGATATATATGTATGAAATCCTATATTTAGTGTTACACGGTGTATGTGCTGCTATATTTAGTGATTTATGTGTGTGATAGTGTCTAATGGTGCTTGTGTATTCTCTTGTGTGAAATACTGTTTTTAGTCATGTATATAGTACGTGTACTGCTGGGTTTAGTGATGTGGGCATAAAATACGGTATGTATAGGCATGTAATATGTGTGCAATTGCAATATATTTAGTGATAAATGTATGAGACACTGTGTTTACATGTGTGTGGTGTGTGTCCTAATGTATATGGTGACATATGTGCTAAGTGGTTCATGGTATCTATGCTGCCACTATGTATTTAGTGAAATATGTGTAAGATATTATGCTTAATGGCACATCATGTGTTTTTTATTAAGTAATATATGTATGAGATACTGTGTTTAGTGGTGCATGGTGGGTGTGCTATTTTATAAAAAAATAAAAGCTTTCCCTGTAAGATCAAGAACAATACAAAGATGACTACTCTCACAGCTTCTCAACAATATCAGACTGGAAGTTCTAACTTCCAGTTCTTGACAATTAGGCAAGAAAATAAAATAAAAGGCATTCAGGGGAAGAAAGAGGTAAAACTATTTTTATTCTCAGATGATGTGATATGGTATACAGAAAATCCTAAGAAATTATTAAAAAACTGTTATAACTAATAAATCAGTTTAGCAAGGGTGCAGGATACAAGACTAACATACAAAAATCCATTGTATTTTCTAGCCTGGGCAGCCTGGTAAAAATCCCATCTCTACAAAAAATACAAAAATTAGCCTGGTGTAGTGGCGCATACCTGTAGTCCCAGCTACTTAGGTGGCTGAGGTAGGAGGGTTGCTTGAGCCCAAGAGATCAAGGCTGCAGTAAGCTGAGGTCACACTGCTGCA